CAGACAATTTCCTACTGACCTTCAGTGGCAGTTATCAGTGACCTTGCTGCTATCTGAAGTGGTACATTGTACTATTGTGCAAGTGAGTGGCAATTTATGTTGTGCAACTTGATGATAAGTCTAGACGGGCTTTGTTTTTGTACAGTTACAAAAGCAGGGAATAGGGACCCTTAAACAGCTGGCAGGCTAGGCTGTAGCTTTTTACGAGAGCTGAAAAGTGGAGATGACTCTTGCCCTCCGTGGTGGTAGAGTAGCTATGCAGTGCTTTCCCTCTTCAGATGGCACTCCAAAAATGCACAAGCCTATTTAGAGTGGGTAGATTCTACTATAGTTTCCACTGTGCTGGCAGCATTTTAATTCAGTATATCTGCATCTGTATTCTAAATATTGCATCTATATTCTCTTGTTCTTTCCTGCTGTCTTTCAGCAGGGTTGTTTTGAAACACATATGGTGATGATCAATGTATGGGTCACATCTTCCCCCTTTTAGTAGAAGAGGACCACTACAACCAGGTGGCTCCTACAGCATTTAACAGGATTTCAAACTCCACTTGAGGAACAAAACATCCATTGAGAAGCAAATCAGCACTAGTCATCATTCTTCCTTTTAAGAAAGGTGGAAAACCTGTGGACCTACAGATATTATTTAACTACAGCAACCCATGGTCCTTGATCAGTGACAGTACTGGTGGATTTTGGAGTCAAACAGTTTTCCAGGGGGGAAAGTCTGCATCCCACAAACAGGATTGCAGAGAACGAGACAAAGGGCTGATCTCAGCTGGGTTGTGGTTGAGCCTTTTACAGCAGCTTTATATACTTTTTTTACTTCTCTCTTTTGAAGGTTTATTACTCACCCATAGCAAAAGGCTCTCAATTAGGCTGATGCTCAATATAACAAAAAGAAATTCAACGTGCATTTAATTAAGCAATAAATTAGGACTGGCCAAGGCTGAAACAACAGGCATTACAACAAGGTCTGCTAAATGGGTTGCAATAAGATGTTGCATCACCATGAGGAACATGAGAGAACAAAACAGGCACCAGGCAGACCTCTCTAGGAAGAGTATGACATAACTGGAGGTTTCTGTTGAAAAGATGCACTTCCAGGTAGGCTTCTGTGACCAAGCTGAGCATGTGAAAGCACTCCAGTCTCAAGGCTCAGGAGAAGCTTCATACCTTTAGATCTGGAATTGAACTGTTGGGTAGCTCAGTGATTTATATATCTTGCTGTGGAATCAGAGTCTGGGAATTCAGTTACCCTCTGTGCCTCCTTGTCGGAGGCTAGACTCGATGTTCCTAGCCTTGGGTCCCTAGATGATGGTCTAAAACTCTGAGAAGCTTTCACCACTTAGCTGTGCTGGCCTGGATTTCTGGGAGTTGTGGTCCAACAACATATGGGGACCTCAAGTTGGGAACCACTGATCTCTAAAAGCCCTTTCCAGCTCTGCTCAGTTCTAAGATGATTACGACATAAGATGATGATTCTGGTATTCTTTTTGTGTGTGTGATTTTGGTGTTCTTGTTGCACTCATATTTTCCTGCACCAATATCCATTTGGCAGCTCTTGATATGAGAATTTAGAAAATATATGGTTCTTTTAGACTGCGGTTCTAAGGAAAAAGATGAACGTATTATTCCCAAGTAGAGTAGAACCCTGGAATGAATGGAATTTACTGAAATGTTGATTTCCAACTCAATTGGGACTTTGTTAGTTTGAAGTAGCAATTGGATTTAAAGCCAAGAGTCTTTCAGCCTGCATGGCCAGTTTGTACTAGAGGTGCTTCAGAAATTTTTTGTGGTGGCTGTGGTGGCAGCGGCAACCCTAATTCCACACTAATATATTTGAATACACAAGGTTTTGAAACACTCATAGCCCTGGGCACAGAGTGCTAAAAATTATTATTATTATTTATTTAATTTATATGCCACCCACACTACCCAGAGGTCTCTGGGCGTCTTACAGCAATTAAAATTCAATACAGTAAAAGATAAAATGAATAAA